TTTTTGAGTTAAGCCTGTGCAAACACTCCATGTATGTAGCATTATTACATGGCAAGCGTAGACTGATCACAAATTAAAACGAAAAATGCAAACAATACTTTAAAAGTCACTTACAGAAACCTTTCTCCAAAAACACTCTTCATATTGGTGAAAATCGCATGAAAATCCATTCAACAGTTTTTGAGTTTATCACGAACAGCCAGACAGTTGAACTTGGAAGAGAACTTTTCTTTATAAATTATAGTGCTTATTGTTTAAAAAAAAATTTCTGAAAGTTTTGCAATACTAGAAAACCGTTAGCAACTTATTTTGGATTTCAATATGAGTCTAAAAAAATACTTAGAAATAATTTGTTCGATGTTTGTTGGGTATACATAAGTGTATGGATTCAGATTTCCAAGCTGCACATCCGGATATAAATATATATGTATGTAATTATATTTTAACTCAGTAGAACACTACCCAAAGTATTTAGTATATGGCTTTTCGATTCCATTCCATCTTCTATGCATTCCTATTGGCTCACTGCCCGTATTTGGCTCGTCTTTTGCTCGTCTTTGGCCTAATGTATGATTGCGGGTTTTATTTGTCTGTCAGCCTGTCTATATTTGGTTGCGTGTGCATAGTACCTACCCATATATATATATAATGTTACCTACGAGTGTGCTTGTGAGCATATCAGCTGAACCAGCCAGCCAACCAACCAACCTACCGACCAACCGTCCGACCGTCCGTCTGTCAGACTGTTTTTAGCTCTTCGCTTTTTGTTAGCTGCTTGGTTGGCACGATGATTTGATGATGGTTTTTTCTTTGTTTTTGTTTTGATTGTTGGATTCAAACTTGTTAGGTGGGTTTCTCTATACTTCCACACGCGCTAGTCTCAACAATCGCAAATGTATGCACATATGTATGTACGCGTACTTTATCAACGTCCCAACAGCTTCGATGCTAGCAGCAGCTCCCATTGGCAGCCGCACAACAACTCTGCCATTCTAAGCTTCTTTGTGCTTACTTATATACGTAGTTATGTATGTATGTATGTATGTATGTATGTATGTATGTATGTATATATGTATGTATGTATGTATGTATATATGCATGTACTCGCTTGTACTTCAGTCTAATTTTGCCTGTATGTGGTTGCGCTGTTTTTATGCGGGGAATTGTGTATCCGTTGGATAAGTTTGCTTATTCTTGTACTCAATTATACGGGAATTACGCGTCTATCTACGCTTCACGAGTGGCTAACCAGACACACATCGCTGTATAAATGTAAATGTACATACATACATACCTGCAATTTACTTACATACTGGTATATGTATGTACATATGTATGTATATTCAATGGATGGACGAACGGATGAGCATATTCGCTAAATAACTTGTGCAACATATGTTTATTTGAGTATATGAGCGTGTGCTCTTTTTTACATACCTGCATGCATACATACATACATACATGCATGCATATATGCCTAGTGAACTTCTCGACTGCCTGACTGGTTGTTGGCTCAGGCTAAGGCTTGGCCAAAGCAGTTGACTGTAATGGATTAATTGCTGCAATGTGACAGTTATTACTTCTACTTCTACTTCTGCTTCTACTTCTACTTATGCATCTATGTAATCATTTACTTTTATTTTCATTACTTCTTTTTGTATTTCTCTGCCTTGGCTGAGTACAATTTTTGCACATTCCGTATGTCCAACTAATTTTTCTGCCGTGTGTAATGGTGTTGTTATGTTGTTGTGTTGTGTTGTTGTGTTGAGGTAGGCACTCATGCTTGAGTGGGTTAATTAGTGTGCCTAAGTTGTTAATACGCATACTTTTCGAAAGTTTTATTTCATTACATACAAACACTCATTTGCAGGTACTTCAACACCTAACCAATTAGGTTTATTTATTAAGGATGAAAATATATGATTATTTAATTGTCTTTTGACCGCAACTACAATTTAGCTACTTTATTTAGTGGTGATGTCATAAATGAGTTGACTAACGGTGTTGTCAATTATTTTAGTATTTTTGTCGAAGAAAAAAAAAAAAGATTATTTTTCGCACTCCTGCAGCAGATGTAGGTTGTGCGTAGATTTTGCATACAAGAGAGGGGCCCACGTTAGTAAAAGGTGACCAAATAGAAGGCAAATTGGAACATGTGGCAATGAGGAATTATAGTCTTGACACCATCCAGATAGAAGCTCGTAAAATCGATTTCTCCTCCAAACCATCTATACTTTCCATAATGAGGTCATTCTTCTTCTTTCGTCATTCATCTCTTCTGTTCCCTAGTTGGAAATATCAAGTGAAACCAGGTGCCTCTTCACCTGATCCCACCAATGGAGTAGAGATCTTCCTCTTACACTGCTTCCAGCAGCAGGTACTGCATCGAATACTTTCAAAGCTGGAATGTTTTCATATATTCGGTCAATATAACCCACACAGCTGCTGTCTATTCATTCGCTGAACCATGTCTATGTCATCGTATAACTTGTACAGCTCATCGTTATAGCTTTGTGATTTGTTAGCTATTCTAGATTCATCGTTAAACTTACACGTATTCGTGAAAATCTCGAATGAGAGATAAGAACATGCTTTTTCTATAATAAAAAGCCCAGCGAATACACTCCACCTGCTCAGCCGAGACGAGCGGCGACATCTGCATAATGTACGGCATATGCCGAGTCATGATTGGGAAGCGTTTGTTAAGGGAGGAACCTGGTTTAGAGGGTCAAAAAATCGTTTTTTTGAAACTTATCTCATTCGATTAGAAATATATTCAGAAATATTTCCACAAAATTTCAGAGTCAAACTCCTAATAGTTCCGCAGAAATGGCCTCTGAGAGACAATGCGCTCAGGAGACTAATAAGCGGGCGCGAGAACTTTGAACGCGATTTTCTCAAAACCGTGTTTCTCTGTTTTGTGCAAACGATTAAAAAACGATTAAAAAAGTTGTATTTTCATAGGTGATACCTTTTTTTCAGATAATAATGTAGGCTTCTATGTGAATCTAAAAAATTACAATTTTTATTAATTTTTTCCATAAATTATCTTAAAATGTCTTCAGAAAAACGCAAAGTTTTTTATAAACAGTCATAAAATAAATAATTTTATACATTTCTTTGAATATCTTAGGTTCACATAGAAGAGCAACTCCTAAGCTACAAAAAGGTATTCGTTTCTATATTTTAGAAGTGCCACAAACAATTTCGAAATGTTATTGCTTAACAGTATCAAATAGAGTGAAAGTAAATTTTTTCTGCAAGATTTGTGTATCTATAACCTATTTCAAAAGTACTTGAAACATTTCATACGTAAGGCAACCTGAAATACTGTGCCGAATATCATGCAATTTTCAGCGTTCTAAGCCAGGTTCCCCGCTTAAGCGTCGAGATGTAAAGCTGTTCAGCTACAGAGAAAATAATTATTCAACAGCTGAAATTTATGGAATTTTAAAATTTAGTTATTGAGAGAAGTAAGAATAGTATTTTGGTCAGCCTGAGAGATCGAAGGAGCTGGAATGAAAATCGAAATTGCGACACAATCGGCAACTTAGTTCATGCAATTCCTAATTTGTTTTACATGACTTTAATAGATTACCTCAGATAAGAGCCATGAACTACGAATTGGTCCGTTAAGAGGTTTCACTACGAACAATGCGCCTAACATTTATCTACGACTTAGAAGCTTTAAACAGTTTGTATAGGGAGGAAGATTTATCGCAGAGTTCCATTGGAAATGTCTTAATACAAAAAGTAAAGGTTTGTTTTTGAACAGACTCCAAGTCGTATAAAGTGCTTTAGTTACAAATATGCCGAAACAGCCTTTTTGACTTCATGCATTCTGCATTCTTTACTCCTCATCTCTTTTATAATTTTGATTAAAAGTGAAATAGTCACTCGGGCCCGATTCTGTGTCTTAGGGTGGTTAAGTCAAAATATTGAGATCCACCCTATGTAGGGCAGCCAAGGCAATGCGGCACTTGTGGATGTTGGTTTGACTGCAAGTCCATCACTCTCCACTGATTTCCATTTCGTTCAAATAGATCATAATAAAATTTGTGTTATCTTTATTTTATGAACACTCTCTAGTTGAACCAGAGGCCTAGAATTAAGGCAAACCGAAGTTTCCCAGGCTTACTAGTGGAATATTTTATTTATGTGCCAACCATAGCAAGCTCTATATAAATAAATAGCCAAAGAGCCAATGGCATAATCTTTCATCATTAATGAGCTATTTTAAAATCCAATAATTTTTTTTCATGTATAAAGAAACTTACAAATATATATAATTAATGTCTTGTGACCGCTGAAGCGATGCCAAATTTTGCTTTCGAAAAATTCACAATTCATTGGTCTGACCAAAATATACAATACATACACATACCTACAATATTTTTGCTAATTTTGTATAAGAAAATGTAGTAGAATGCAAGTTGCACTTACATCGTCTCTGACAGCTCCAGCGGATTGCTCTTATCCCTTAATTATTTATTAAATTAAGTCTCACATAAGAACAAAACCTTTGTAAAAAGTTCTCCCATATGGTAAAGTTCTCCGATTTTTATGGCTTTCGGTTACAATATTTTTTTTTTTTGAAGTTTTGATTTCATGCTCATGAATACCATTTGATGGAGTTTAAACTCAAAACGCTATATCTGAACAAAATTTTTTTATGGGAGCTATATGGTAACGTTCTTCCATTTCGATGATTTTCAGTGTAAATATTTAGCTGTATTTCGGTTGAATGGATCTTGTTGGTTGACACATCTTAAAATCTGAGGGACTAGCTTCCTTACAAGTAGACGAATAGATGGACAGACGGACATAGCTAAAACAACTGTAATGATATTCTAATCATAATAATATCGGTACTCCATACTTTGGACTTAAGGTCATGTACATAAAAGCTTTAAAAATAGGTTTTAAAATAAAAATATGTATGTATATGCAATAATTGTGATTCTAATTTACTAAAGTTATATATTCTCCTTTATTTTCAGATGTGCATAACGGTGTAGTGAATTTGTGAATAATATCAATTTAAAACATAAATTAAAATAAAAAAAAAAATATTTATGCAAACTTGTATATGTAGATATTCTATGATATTTCTCCTGTGATATTTAATCAAAATTTCTGTTTCCTGAAGTAAATGGAAAATTTCATATTGCAAATAAAGAAACGCGTTCAACAACTTAATTACATACACTACTTACATACGTGTACATTCGCTCGATTACACTCAGCCACACGCTCATATAAAAACGAGAAACCAGTGTAAGTTGTTAGATAATTTTGTTTTTGCATTTTGACATGTGCTTGGCGTGTTCGAAACGGTGATGTTACCAAATAAACTCGTTGTAATCTACTGCCAACCAACGACGCAAGAACAACGTCCAAACGATAACACTGTTATCACCAACAGCAGAAACAAAAGCAAGAGCAAAAACAAGACCAAAAACAAGTGCAGAAACCGAAACAGTAGCAGAAACAGCAGAAACAAGAACTGCAACAATTGTGACAGCAACAACAGTAGTAGTAACATCAGCGACAGGCACAGTAGCACCAGCAGCAACGCCAACACCAACAACCACACTGTCAATGACGTTGATGCGGGCCACGCCTCAATCAAGTACAAAATTTGTATTGGTCAAGTGTGCGTGTGTGTTAGTGCTTGCACGTTGAGTGTGTTAACGTCCAAGTTATCAAGTCTGCAACAAGCGATCACGCATCCCGTTAGTGTTCCAGACCAAAAACAACGAACACCACCACCGACACCACAACGAGTTGAACAACAAAGCGACGGGCAACAAAAGCAGCTAGAACGGAAACAAATACGTTTACAACAACAAGTTTGCAAAAGAAGAAGCAGAACTCTTACGAAACTAATAATAAAAGCAATAACAAAAACAACAATACCACCAGCAATAACAAACAACACGTACCCATTACCGCTGCTACCAGCACACTTCCGTCGTCGTCAGCGTCGCCAACGACGTCGTTGCCGTCATTTACACACAGTCCGTTGGCCAACGAGGGCTATTGAACTGTATGCGCCTCAAAAGCAGACGCAGAAGCAGAAGCAGAAGTATTGGATACGGAAATTTGCAAACATAATTCGAAAATATGAATTTAATTATTGTCGCCATTGTGCTACTAATGGCCCACAAGGAATATATGGCAAGCCCAACACCATTAAAATTACCAGGTGAGTCTTGTGGTGTATTTGACTTGTTGTGGCAATAGATATATAAACCGTTATTAACATTATACGCATTGCACTGCGGCGTCATTGTTCTGAAAAAACACTAGCAAGACATTGGTATTTTCTGGCCACAATCATTCTAGTCCAAAAAATATCCAAATGGTACCAATTGGGAAACTAGTCGTTAATGACTGCGCACTACTATTTATTTCATATTTTTTGCTTTTCTTTAAAGTCTTTTACTCTAGTAATTTTTGGTGCATTTTATTTTAATTTTTACTAAATCATAGTAAAAAAATAAACATATAACAGAAAGATATATATAACGACATTCTAAATGGAATACAGAGCTTGTGCTGGGGTAATCGGTGCATTAAGTCATGTCCAACGTCTACGCTCAATGGGAAAGTAACAGTATTTTCTACTATAAGAATTAAGGTGTTGGCTGGTTGGTTCCGAAACAGTTATGTAAACAGTAATATCCTGAATCCGCTTGCAACAACTTAGGACTATATGCTTCCAAGATTTGATTTTATGAGTTGCTTCCAGGTGAGGAGACCCTCTAGGTGTAAATGTAGAGGAGGTTATTAGGAGAGTAGGATACGATCTCAACCTGTACAATGGGTCCAAAATGGATTGCAAGATCTAGACATCTCTCTCTCTCTCTCTTTATTTGTCTACCAAACTCAGCTTCTTCCAACCGGAAGTATTAGTTAAAAATAAGGCCTGTGGAGCTCTATTGAATTATAACAGGTGGGTATAGATAGCAACCAGCAAGGCAGAAAGCAAGACAGCACTGCTGGCCTTGTTGTTACCAAATATTAATTCCGGTGTTTGTCAACAACTGCAGGAATGACCTAAACACAATGCCAGGTCAACTCCACTCATCGATATTCTGCTTTTCTCGGTCACAGGCAGCAGTAAAAAAACAGAAGGCTCTCTAGACGAATTCGAGATTCGAGGCATTAGTACCACGTCTCCTAGGAACGATCAAAAGATAGAGAGAGAGATTCATAATCATTTCGAGCAAATAGCTCAAAACAAATGGAAATCAATAACAAATTTGGTTGCTGATTGAACCAGGGAACGAACCCTCGCCGTCAGCATGGCAGTACGCAATGTTAACCTGTGTTTAACTGTAGCGGTCTCCCTTGACAGTTTCATCAGTAGATAATTCCAATTACCTTCTGAAAGAAGACAGTCAGCTAATTTAGATTACTTGACTTACCAGTTACGAAGTAGTTTTTAACTAGTTTACTTCGCTCTGGGTCACATACGGTTATGTATGCTAATCTACTCATAACAGTCTAAGTCGTAACCACATACGAGTATATCCAATATATATACATATCCTCCCCTTCCTGTGTCTCTATTTGCGTTTCTAATGAAAAATTCATTTCGGACCCACTCTCTGACATCTCTATCTCACTATATCTTTGCACATTAATGTATATTTGATGTTGTGGGTGGTGTCCAGTGCAATAACCCGCCGCCATAATACATACCGTAACAACATTATAAGCATACAAAATGAATAATTCCCATGCTCGTACACACATACTTAGTGGCCGGAGCTTGTGGCGGTGGAGAGTTTTAAGGTATAACTTCAACTGCATAGCGTTTTGCAAAACAAAATATGCACACACCAAGTACAAATAGGTTGGGTTATGGCTGTAGCGAAAAAGGACGATAAATCCAATTATAATTGTTGCATAAAATAATACGGTTTCCTTTGTTATTTGCTTTTAACTTAGGCATCATTATTAGCGAGCATATTTTCTGTTCAACTTTTTTTCTTCTTTAAACTTTTGTACAGAAACTTTTGTTAAAGTTTCACAATCTACAACAATTGATGGGAAGTACATGCGTACATATGAGTATGTGGAAAATAAAGTTTAAGAAGAAAATTTTTAAGAAATTTGGTATGAGAAATGTTTTAAAAAGGTAGAAAAGTGCTGTGGTTGGAAGCCTCCTTTATTCGAATACGGTTAGGCTGTGGATGGGAACGTGAATTGTATTGTTGCCAGGCCACATGTGAGTGCTTGAGTGCATGTACAATAAGTTTAGCCAACTGGTTCATTGTAGTACCAACATTAAGCGCATGAAAAAGGTTAATCTCACCTTTTTAGGTGCTCATTCCCTTCACTGTGTTTTATGAAATCCAATTGGTTATTCAAACTTGAATCTGATTTAGCAAGACAAAAGAGGTAAAAACCTTCACTGTCGAGTCATACTACAGACTGGATAGTAGCAGAGCGCTGACTACCACCAACTCAAACTCTTTTGTGCCTCTGCAGGTCTCTTATTGCAGAGATAACCTCTCAGGCTTACGTGGTGCTAAGAGATTACTGATTTTGAAATTGTTAAGAATTTTATTTTGCTCTTGCTTGAGAGTAAAGACTTTGATTTCTCTGGCACCATAGCATATTGTTTTCTTAAACCAACTGCCATATTCCTTACTGGCGATGTAAGATCGTCATAGGTACATTACTGACTAAGTCTTTGGTTAGAATGTTCGGTCGCGCAGTTCCTTGCAATGTCTCCGCTTCCAGCGACACAAGCAAACGAACTTTTTACATCTAATCAGGACTTTGTTTAGACTTACCTTGCTTTTTATTGGCCCCTTAGACGTGGAGGCATTGCATTATGAAGTCTTAATTACAGCTTTTCTTGAGCATAACCAAATATCCACTTGCTAAGGCTGTTTGAACGAGTATGAAGTGGTCGGATAGTCATTTGCTCATATACAGCTTTGTGGTCTTTCCGTGATATCGACTTTTCAATTGCAACTCGGAAATCGGCAAAAAATTTAACGTTTCCGTCATTGTCAGCCGAAGATTGCGTTCCAACTAAGGGTATGGCTAATATCGAAGGCAGAAGATTTTTTTGAACTCATGCATGCATCTGTGATTCCCGAGTACTTAGACAAGTCTCAAAAGCCGCGATTGTTGGTAACATTTTCAGCTAAGCAGTGAACGAAAGTTTTTTTTTTTAGGTTTATTCATATTAATTGGGTTTTTAGCCACCTACTGAGTGGGTTTCGTTCAATGGCCGAAAAAGGGAAGGATGAAAGAAACTGTTGACTAGTGTCAAACTCTATAGCGCGGCAAGTCATCGAATATAGTCGATGCTTCTAACTGCATTTCACACAATGGGACTTGCAACTTCTGCTGTATTTTATTGTGGGGAAGGTTTTGTTTGCGAATAATAGAGTCCCATAACACATCATACTCCCGGAGGTATACTAGTTTAGAGAGAGTTTCTTATGAACCAACCAACTGATATCGAATCTCTTATTATTCTGTCTTCACTAACAAGCGTAGGTGCGACATCAACCATTTAGCGTGTTGTTGAGGAAGGAAAAAGGTCACCTCTTATGGGTTATGTGCCTCCATGGTGGACCAGCGGTCCAGATATGAAATAGGCTTGAGCCTTTGGTGCTGCCCACGACAATTTAATGATCATCCTTGGTACTTGTTTTTTAACAGCCTTTCTCCACTCATATTTTTACTCCATTAAGTAAGAATACAAGAATGTTACGTATACGCTGTGTTGTACCAAATACTGGTACAACTCTTTCTAATGAATAATCGTTTCAAATACACTTAAAATAATTTTTTTTCGAACTGAGTTTATTAAAAATTGGGAATATTTATTACTAAAAATTTGTCTCTTATCGCTATTTCCCATCAAATGAAAAAATAAAAAATGTATATAATATTTTAGAGTCAACCTAAATCTAAAAACTGCTATTAAATATTCAGATAAAAAGTCATATTATTTGAGTTTAGTCGGGACTCTGTTTCCAAATATTTCGGATCGCTTGGTCAGAGCCCATGCAAGTGCGTGTAAAGTTTATTCCTCTCTTATTTGTCGGATACAAGAGCAGCCTTCATATAATCTTTGATCTCCTCAGGTGAAGCCAATAAATAAGAAGTTCTGAGTATTTTGATTGATATTTGTTTTGAAAATTTCTCTAGCCGCTTCGCACAGCTCTGGAGGAACTTGTGCTATTGGTTAGGTGTAGAGTTTAAAAAAGTTAATTCAAACATTGAAAAAATGCTAAAAAAAAAGCTCAAAATAAATGCCGCTGTATCTGCTAGTGAATCAGCTTTAAAAAAAAATAAAATCAAATTCATTACAATAGTGATTATATGTACATACATACATACAATCGCTCCTCGTACGCTCTTGCGCAATAATTAAAATAACTTATTTACCATTGAGATGTAAATGTAGAAGTGAAAATGTAATTGAAATGCGAGAAATGTAAGAAATCGATGAAAAATCAAGCAGATACATAGAGGAGAAATGAAGCAATGGTGTTTTAAATGAGAATAAAGATAATTGAATTGATTGAAATTCATGGAAAATAAATTAATTTGATTTTATGATTAAATTGAGCTTTTATGCTTGACCACTTTATTTTAATTATTACTTACTATCACCACTCAACCATTATCAATTAAATTACTTAATAAATGTTATGAAGGAGTGAACCAGAAGCAGAGATGACAAGGAAAAATCTCTCAACGGATGATGAAATGTTGCGTTGACGTTGTTAGTGGGCTTGTTGACATTACGACTAACGGTATCTGCCAGCTCATCTATCTGATTTGGCACCTTTGACATTTGGGTTGCATTTGGAGTTCCTTGCAAATTGAGTTAATATAATTTCTAAAGTTGACTCAGCATATGTAAAATGTACACATACATACACATACATACGCTGAAATAAATAAATAAATAAGCGTAGGAAAACTACGATTAAATACGTATACATCAAACACATCAAACATATGTCCTAAACGCCTTTGCCTGTGTGTTGTTTAACAGCGTTGTGCGTTTGTATGTATTGTCGTTGTCGTTTTTGTTGTTGTTGGGACAACTTCAGCCCAACACCCTCACACACACACAAAAAAAAAGAAATGTGTGGGTTTGTAGCATTATTGGGTTGTTGGTGCTGACATTGGTCGCCCGAGACCGTTGCCGGGTGTTGGGTA